CGGGAAAATGATGATCCTCACTCGGTAATTAACTAAATGAGAAAGTTAAATCTTACTTGAGAGCTGGGAGAGATGAAAGAGAGGTGTTTGTCAGTTTCTCAGTGGAAATTAGAAGCAGTTTTCTGCAATTCCCTAAGCTGCTGCTCTGTCATATTTTACATAAGCAGTGGGAAAACGTCTTGTAATTAGTGCTGTCATGGAGGATTTTTTTTGCTGAAGGATGTTGGAATAATTCATTAGATTATCAAGAAAGGCTTGTGTCCTGAAATGATTAGCACAGTGAAATTTAAACCATTAACGATAACAAGTTTAGAGCTTGCTGCAGTGCAGAGGCACCCGGGGTATGTCTGTGCCTATTTCAATCATTTCTTATAATTAAACATTATGTCCTCTTTTTTCCTCCCCTTCACTAAGACCCATCCAAAATTCCTGTTAAGGTGGCTCTGTCTAGATCAGTGACTTAACCACGACTGGCAGTGCAAGCAGCTGGAGGTGAAATGCTGCAGCTGCAAATAAGCCAAAGAAGACATCTACCTGGGTCGGAGCCCGCAGCCCCAGTGAGTACGGGGAAGAAGGGAGGAAACCCAGTTTGACCTGCTGGTACTGGGTTGTCGGGGGAACTCCCTTCATTTCATCTGGAAAGAAGCTCAGTGAGAAATTTATGGTAGTGACCAAAGCTTTCACTCTTTGTAGAGCTCCAGCGTGATGTCTGGAAGGTTCAGCAAGTCCCAGCCTTGTTGGGATTATTTAAGCCACACATGGTATTGTAGGAAACAGCTTCTGTTTTTCTTAAAAGAGATCTCCTCTTACCATCAAGAAATGTATAATCTGAATTCATCCACACCGTGCAAAGTGCCTTAATAAAACCCTCTGTGATAATTAGAAGATACTGTGGTTTTTAATAAAAAAAATCAAAGTTTTGACCATTAGTATGGGTGGTAATACACTACTTAAGGCCTATGCCATGATCAGAGAATTGTGCTGGTGCTTTTTTTTCCTTTCCTTTGCTTCAGAAGGATTCTTAACCCCCCTACTGAACAAAAACAAAAATAACCTTGGTTGTCATACGTGGGTTACAGCTGTGATATACCACAGCTATTTTGTTTTATATGCAAAGCAGCAGATTTATCCCGGCTTTATTTATCTGTGCTGAAATATGGCACCTTCCTATAGTTGCGAACCATTATTTAGATTAAAGCCCTCTCATATATTAGTCCTCTTCTACTTCACTGGGCATACAAATGTGCTTTGTGTTAAATGTAGCCATTTGGAGAAATGGTCTTGTAATTATGGGCTGCAATGGAGCATAGTACATAGATCCCTGAGCTAGTACCAACCTGAGGCAGGCAGTCCCCTGGGTTTCCCGGCACGGCCTACTAGCTCGGGCACACCGCTGGAGGAGGACACCTCGGCTGTCCTTGCAGACAAGGTGGCATGTCCAGAGCCACCCTGAGCATCACCAAGCCCTCATTTAACCAGGGGATTGTGAAAGGGAAGCACAAAAAGCTTTCTCTGTTTCAAGCTAGTAGCTTGCTGTGTTGTACCCAAGCTGTCTCCCAGGGCGCCGGCCTACCAGTGCTTCTTCTTCTTTGCCACTATTGGTGGTGAAGCTTATAAAAAGCATAATACGCTTTATATTTACATTCACGTTTGGATGAATTTTGAACCTAGCAGCATGCCTGGCCTGCGGGGCGGTTCTCGCCTCGTCAGGGTAGGCCTGGCTGTGGCACCAGGAGGAGGAGGACCCTGTAGGCCACTGCGTGCTCCAGGAAACACAAACTGCGGCCATTCGGAGGTGGTTTGCAGTGAACTGGAGGCAGCTGACCAGAAAGGTTGAGTCATCAGGGTTTATTAGGAAGCCAAATCGATTCTCTTGCTGCTTGTAACCAGTCCCTCCCCACCCCCAGCGCTTTAATAATACAGATGCTTGATGTCATTGTTTTGTTGTTCCTTTTTTTTTTTTTTTTTTTTTAATAACAGGCCTTTTTCATTGAACCCCCAGTGGGTTTTAGGACTCTTCAAAGTGAAGTTTTGGAATTTTCTTCTCAACTGTAGCTGCAGACGGTCTGGGGGAGGCATGGGTGCATGTATTGCAGTCGCGTGATTTTGGAGCCTTGTGAGTTCATCTGTTGTATGTGCAGAACCGGTGTGATTGTGGTCGGCCCTGTCTGCCTGGTCCTCTGCTTGTACAGACCACAGGACCTGCTGGGCATGCCACAGCCAGCTGTGGGCTTGTCCCTGCTCCTTTCAATGGAAAACTGGGCCAAGCAGGGGTGCAAGCAGTGTCTGAAACTGATACTGTCATGTGTGGCCAAAGTAGAACGCACAGAGCTACAAGCACATCGTACTGCTCTCCACTAATTTGGACATACTCACTGTGACACACAGAGTGCATTTCTTAGCAGACCCACTCTATCAGCCTAGAGTTTGACTTCAGGTTACAAGCTGGTCAATAGGCTCTTTAATTTACTCATTATTCCTGCCCCAGAGGCCTGTATTCACTGGGGATGTAGGCAAGATGACTTGCTCCCACCTAAGCCATCTGTTTTTACACACACGAGCCATTAGTTGATTTTTTTACAGATGTTGCAGCTTCTATTTGATACCCCAGGCTGACATTTTAGATGTAAGCAGGGAGCTGGAGGTGGCTGGGAGAAGGGTGCTCAGGAGGCAAGCAAGGGCCAGAAGCTGGTGCCACCCCATAAAAGCACAACTTGCCCCTTTTGTGGTCTGTGCACATCAGCTCCGTTGCCAGCTCAGCATCATGTAAGACTTAATCTCTCACATTAAAAGGCAGAGGTATAGGCTTTTAAAAAATGTTTTGTTGAGACAGCCTATTGTGAGATTGACTTCACGGCAAAGAAAAAAGAGGAATTCAACGACATCAAGCTTGTAGAATACAACATCTCTCCTCCGTCTTAATCCAGCATTTTTATGGGGGTGTCTGTTTTGCAGGCAGCTTAACTGCAGCAGAAATGACCAGAATCCCCTAAGACCAATGTTCAGGGCAGTCCGTTGGTAATCGTTTTTTGCCAGGCTGTTGCCAGCTGTGGACTTTGCTAGGAAAACTCCAGTTTTCACACCAAGGACGTCATTCCCACAGTCCTTTAGAGATTTCTCTATATAAAAAGTTGGCCCAAGAGAAAGTGTTTCTTTCCTGATGTCCAATACTGGGTTTGTGACTCACTTGCAGTCAGTGCTGTCCGTGTGGTGGCCAAATGAAGTAGTGTAGATCAGTCATAGCCTGTGTCTTATGTTATCTTACTCAACACACACGCAAGTCCGCAGGGAGTAGTGGGGATAAAAGTAATGTTGAGAGCACTGAGCTGCACAGTTGAGTATGGGTGATATGATCTCACATTTCAATTCATAATACCAAAATAGAAAAAAAATGCTTGTTATAAATGGCAGCTTATTTTTGTACAAGAAAAAGTCTGTCCAGATCTGCTGGAAATGCTGAAATTTAGGTGGATTTGCACTATAAAGTGAAATGTAAATGATGAATAGTTAGGTAGATATTCAAATTACGATGTTTTTGGTGTTCTGAAGTCAGGACTGCTAGTGGGGCAGGGAGGTTATTGAAGTACAGGAATTCTTTTCTCCGCAGCAACAACGAAATCCTGCTTTCTAAACCCAGTTTTGATAACTAGTTTCTGTGGTCTCAAAACATGTTTTAGCACTTGCTGGGAAAAGTTGTTTGTTCTTTTTTCTTTTTCTGTAAAATGAGCTGATCCATATATTTCTTTTAGATATCATTGCGAACATTTAGGAATTTGTTTTTTCCTTTGAAGTCAGTGAAGTCTCCTAGAGAGGTTGCTGCCTGGAATTGTCATCATAAAAGAGAAATATGGCACCCCTAAATCAATGGTTGTTGTATTCTGGTGTCTGTAATTTGTTTCTAATTATTTGATAATTAATAGAGAATTTCTAAATATATCTTGCAAATAAAAATGATGTAATATTATTGACTGGTACTACAACCCTGTTTGATGTTAAATATTGGAGTGAAAAAGAGAAAATCATGTTTTTGGTGGGATAATCTATAGTAGGAAAATGATAATTGTCAGGGTGAGTGCTGTACAGATAAGTCTCTGCAGCAACATTGGACTTGCTTTGGCTAAATACGTGCCCATAGTATGTATTCCTAGACTGGGAAGATAAAGAAGTGAGCTTGTACGGTTAATGAAAAGAAACCTAAAAAGAAGCAAAAGTCTTAATTTAACATTTAATAAGCTATCTGACCATTATGGAAAAAAATAATTTCCCAATAAACGGTTAATGTTTATTGGACAAAGGATATTCCTGCAATGCAAAATGTGCAGTTTCCTTCCAGTTAAATTGTTTAGAAAGCAGAAATTACATCCTGCTATCAAGTAGTAAATTGAAATGTCAGTGTTCTGTATTGTCCCTGAAACTCTTTGAGCTGAGCCTTTCTGACAAGATATTAACAATGCTCAGAAAGTTTAAGATCTTTCATTCTGTGAAAGACGTCTGTCACATATATCAGGGTGTGTTTTAGCTGGCTTTACTCTCAAGGTATAATTTTGTACTTGAAAGAAGTACAAACCATTTCTTTCTCATCCGTTTCAGGCATTCCCTATGACTTGTAGCAGCAGTCCATTCTTTAGAAGAAAAAAAAAAAAAAACAAGTGCATTTTTTTGTTAGTGCATTGACATAACAGGTAACCACAGCTGAGAAATCCAAATGCATCTTACTGTCTGCAAGGTGTAAATAAAATTGTTTTTATTAAATCGGCACTCATGGTTTCCCATCTAACCAGTCCTTTATGTGCAGCTCAGACATGAACCAGTACCTTGTCCTGCAGGGGTTACAGCTCACTGTGACAGCACTCCGACTGACAGCAGCAAATGAGATACACAGACTTGGCCAACTTCATGTATCAGAGTGTTTTTCCTTCTGTTATGTTTTCAAAAAAAAAATCATAAAACCACCTGAGCTTCTTTTCTTATTAATGATTTGGGTTTTTCTTTCCTTTCAGACAAAACTTGCCAATGGCACTTCCAGTATGATTGTGCCCAAGCAAAGAAAACTGTCTGCAAGCTATGAGAAGGAGAAGGAGCTCTGCGTCAAGTATTTTGAACAGTGGTCCGAGTCTGACCAGGTGGAGTTCGTGGAGCACCTCATCTCCCAGATGTGTCACTACCAGCACGGACATATAAACTCATACCTCAAACCCATGTTACAGAGGGACTTCATCACTGCACTGCCAGGTATTTCTGCAGGCAGAGGAAGCTTGCTCTTCCACCTTGTCTTCCAGAAAACTGTTCCACTTGGCTTCCTGTGACTTTGGCCAGCCCTACTGATGAGGTCTCTTCAAGGGTCAGCTTGCAAAATAGATGATAGCTTTTGAATGAAAAGCTCCATACCGATGCAAAACATAGGAACATTTTGTTTTGTATTCCTACCATCTCTTTAGGCATGATCTAATACCAACATGGTTTGGCTAGGAGTAGCTCTTATCTGTATCTTAAAGGAAAGTCATCACAAGCCACAGGACAGGTAGTTGTGCTCATAATGCCCACAACAATACATTAATAACCAAAATAACTTAAATTAAAACTACATAGCTATGTGAAGAGAGGAGTTTCCAGTCATTTGATCATTCTTCAGAAGGGATTCCTCAGCCTGAAATTTAAATAAGATGGAAAAAAAAAAAGATGGAAAAAATATGTTTAACTGTGAATTGTACAAAGCATAAAGGCAGTGCAGGAGTTTTGCTATGACGTTAGGTATGTAGACTCTGGATTTTTAAGCTCATTGTGGCCAGTAATCAAATGGTTGTTGTAGCATTAAAAAAAAATCTTAGTTATGCTAAGTACCTTCTTTATGCTAGTTTTTAGTAGTCCAGTGGCAATAATCTCATGTACTTAGAGCAGCATTATAACTTGTGGAGCTGTTCTGTTTCAGGAAAACAGAGAGTACTTTGAAAGCGCATTGGTTTCCCCAGTTTTAAAGTGGAAGTATGCATACAGTTAGTTACATTATTTTTCCAGGTTTTACTCCACAAAACTCCACCAGAGCAAGCTAATATATCTAATTTTCACTTGTTTAATTTCATCCTGCTACCCTTTTTGTGAACTTTTTGGGGCAAATATTAGAAATACTGTCACAGGCATCCAAAATTTCCCAGCCATACTGTATTTGTTGGTGGTCTTTTCACACTTATTCAGGAGGCAGCTTTAGCTTTGAATTTTGCTATACCCAAGCGCAGAATAGATAAGAATTAGGCAGCTAATATCTGAATATTTGAACAGTTGAGGGAACTGTGTGCTTAAATAAAGCACGAGCGTCAATTTGCGTATTTGCAGAGTGCTAATGTCCTAGTGAATATATATACATGTAATTCTCTCTAAGGGAGAGAACGAATGACAAAGAACTGTACTGGCTCAGACTGCAGCCTGGGAGGTGCAGAATGTCCTTGGTATAGGCAGGTTTCCAGTAAGGGTGGCAGGAAAAGGGAAAGCTCAGAAACTGCTGAGGAAAGAATGGTGAACCTAAAAATTTGAATTAAGTCAATAAAAAAAAACACAACTGAACTCTGAAGTATTTTGTAGCTTTCTGAAATGTGCAAGTGTTCAGTACTCTGGTTTCATTTTTACACCTTCATTCTCTTTCCTGCTCCCCCCTCAAGTAAATAAAACAATAAAGATACTCCAAAATCATGAGGCATCTTATCTCTGTCCTCCTAGCGCTGTCCCACAGAATGACCAGAGGTAGTTTTAGATCATGAGCAGACTTTGCTTATATAGAGGAAATTGGCTCAGAATATTTTCCCAGTGCTTAGGACAGAATTAAGGTTGTTTGAAAAACACGGCTTAACTGCGTACTTAACAAACTTTGTTCCATTTCTAAAAAAAAAAAACCAACAAGGCCTTTGCTTAGCATTTCCAAGCTGTTTAACATTTTTTATGGGCAAAGTCATTTTAAAAGGGTTTCATGTGTGAAATAACTGAAAGATTCTTTTAACAGTTGGTATGGAGGACTGAAGGGCTAATCGTGTTTCACATTAGTTTAGCAAAAGCTTTTGTGCAAGGAGATTTTTTTTAAGGAAGCGATGCTCCAGCAGATATATGGCTCACATAATAATAAAATTATTTTTGTTTGCTGCCAGGGCAAAATAGCTCTGCCCTTCCACTTATCATAAATGTGGGAAGGGGAGGCCAAAACATCAGTATTTCTTGTCTGCAAAGGATCTGTCTAGGGTCAAAAGTGTGACTTATAGTGATGGAAACTTATAGTAGTTATGACACCTCACTACAAATAGGTTTAAAGTAAAACTCCTGAATATCCAGGAGGGGCAGGTGGGTCAGAAACACAGTTGTGGGTGAGGAATATTGTCCCCACTTCATGCAGTGTTCCTTGCTTCCTAAAGCCACTGATCTGTTCCCTGTATAAAATAATTTCTTGCTGTTTTGCTGCTTACATAAAAAGGCAAATGTGGATGCTGCATGGGCAGGCATTTTTAATGTCCTGGTGGGTTGGTGTCTGTTTCCCCATTGGAAACAACACAGATTGGGAAAGCAAATATGCCGTTTCCACCCAGGAGAGAGCTCAGGACTGCAGGTGTCAAGGTGGGGAAGGAGGGGAGCACAATTGTCCATGTCTGCCCTACCAAATTGTGGAATTCCTGCAAATTCCGCTTCAGCTTCACCAAAACATATCTCTCCTTCCACGAGTTGCTGTAGTGTCAATCTAAATTTACAAACACTTTTTTTTTTTAAAGAGAGTGTTTCCTGTTAATGGCTGTATATATCTTTTCAGATTAAATACATAATAAAGGCTGCTGAAGCTTTTATTTTGCAGGTTGACATCTAATTTTGCACCTATAAAGATAAGAAATGTCAGGCTTCTTTCTGCTCTCTCTGGCTGCGCGTGGAATCATTCCCGGGCTTTTTCTGCTCCGTGAATGGACGCAGAAAAGGCTGGGCAGAAAGTCTCACCCAGCGTGTTTATAAACTCAGGATGTTTGAAAGGAGTGAGGAGATGGGCTGAGTTTTCTTGTTTTCATGCACCAGGAGATAAGTTTGAGATCTTTCAGTTAATGAAACCAAACAAAGGTTGGGCCTTTTGTTTCTCATGAGCTCTAATCAGAATCAACTGATTGCACCCAGTTTGGGCTGCTGATATATGAATATGCGACCGTACAACTGCCTTGGCTGCTTTTTCTTTGTCACTGACAAGCAGGGCCTGGTCTTTGAGGCCGTTGCTTTGAAAGCAAGAAAGGATGTTGTCCTGGATGTGAAGTGGAAGGAAGACGCATGTAATACCGATCTCCCATGCTTCCTTTTGGGTTGGTGTGGACATGATGCCTGAGGGGTAGTGGGCTCTCAACCACAACTTTGACAAAGCCTCCGAAATGTGACCCGTGAAGTGGGATGATGTCTTGACACTGTCTCACTCAGGAATTTGGCAGCCTCAAAGACAAGTTATATTTACGCAACAACTCATTTAAAAGGCGTCTTATTTCTCTGATGTCTTGCTGGTGATTGCATCTGAGTGTATGAGGGCACGTTTTCGCTGAACCCATCCCTCTGGTTACGAAGCAGAGCATCCCCTTGCTGCCCCCAGTGCAGCGATGGCTCCTTGTGCTGCTAGGAGCTACCCGGGCTACAGAGCCATGCCCTGAAATTGTTGCTGCTTGCTGTCTTTTTACTCATCTGCTCTACCTTTTACTCCAGCCGTGTTGAAACAAAGCCAGTCCTGGTATCCGCACTGGAAAATATTTGCAAATTATATAGTGTTGGTGCATATTTTCCCTCCACCCACTGAAATGAATGAAGCCAGCAAACCTGCTTCACTTTCTCCTCAGCCAGCCTCTTCTTCCCTCTCCCCTTCCCTGTGCATCTGCATATCTTTCCCTCCCCCATGTCTAAAGGTACCACTACCCTTCAGGGCACACATTGGGAATATATATTTTTTTCTTCATTACGTTTAAAAGCTACTGCTTTAGCAAAAACAGCTTTTGAGCCGTTGGAACATGAGAACAGCTGTAGCAGTGAGATGAGAAATGGTCCTAATATAGAGAGATTTTGGGGGCTGCGTCGCTGAGTTGGAAATGCCATCCATAGAATATCCCCCTAGTGCTAAAACCCATCGAAATAGATTGGAATGACTTCTTGGATTCTTTATTATTTTTAATGACTTGTTGTGTTATATCCAAAGGAAGTTGGAGAACGCTGTTCACTCCTGAACTTAGCCACAAATGCTCTTCTGTGCATTTGGTCCAGCTCTGCATGCAGAAGAGTAGAAGAGAAAGGGATGGGGAAGAGAGGGCATCTTTGTACTAGTAAGGGGAGTTGTTTTAAACTGCACATCTCCCAGACAAATAATGCTTTTATTTACTTCTTTTTTTTCTCTTTTTTTTTCTTTTTTTTTTTTCCCAGCTCGGGGATTGGATCATATTGCTGAGAACATCCTGTCCTACCTGGATGCCAAATCGCTGTGCGCCGCTGAGCTGGTGTGCAAGGAGTGGTACCGCGTGACGTCGGACGGCATGCTCTGGAAGAAGCTGATCGAGAGGATGGTCAGGACAGACTCGCTCTGGAGGGGGTTGTCGGAGAGGAGAGGATGGTGAGGGAACTGCATCTTCACCTCTTTTGTCCCCATTTAAGACAGCAGGTGCCGCGTGTTTCAAGCCACATTTGGAGAGGCGTGCGTAGCACCCTGAAACGTCACGTTGGTCCCAAACCCCACAAACACCTAAACCAAAATTCAAGGGCTGGGGAGTCGGGACATCATTTGGCTGTGCAGGCAATGTGGGGGCTTGTTCCTCACTTTCCTCATCTGATGATGCTCTTATCCCACTGTGATAAGTGAGATACACAGACTGCGATTTTTACGCCCAGCTGTCATTCGGTTCAAATTAAGAAGCTGTGTACGCCCCAGGGAACACTAAACTAGTCAGCAGTTCAGAGCAGAAGAGCTTTTTTAGGGGTGGCAGTGGGGCAGCATGTGCTATGAATTAGTTCTTTCCTGATAGGTCTGTTTGTTTTCCTCAGCAGATTTTCACTATTAGATATCTGTTTAATTTTCAAACTGGAAGCTGAGGGTAGGTACCACGGAGAATAGGGGACTTTAGAAATGCAGATAGATTAGTTAATAATCAGCTGGAATAGCCTTACTACAATGTGGGTCTCACTCAAGTTTGAAGCTGCTCTGTTAACATTTCATTAGAACTTTCCCTCTCAGGGGTACGTCCTTTAATACATAATTTTCTTTTCCAAGGGTGTCCCTAGGATGTTGGCAGAAAGGAAGCTGGGTATGAATATTTCATAAACAAGATAAAAGTGACAGCTCAGGCATTTTGGTTGCCATTAAAAAGAAAAAGATACGGAGTTGCAAACAAAGACTCCCATTTCATGCTTAGTTTTGCTCTACTGTTTGTCTCAGGGAGTAAAGGCAAGTAAATCAGGGTTGTGAAATGTCTTTTAAAAATAAACACAATGTCGATCAGCTTCCAGTAGTGTTATGTTTATAAGGAGTATAAAATAAACACAACCATGACAGTGTTAACTTTTGCATCCCTTTTAGTGCCTTGCTTTCTTCAGGACTTCTATTTTTGCTCTGTGTTGTTGAGGTCAGAGTAAGTCGGAAGAGGACTGTGGGAGGCTATTTAGTCCCTCCTGCGTCCCAAAGGCAGAACGAGCTTTCTTTAAGTCATTCCAGAGATGTTCATCTAACATGTTCTTAAAAACCTTCCCTAATAGAGATCCCCTGTGCCTTGCTTGGGCAAGCAATGCCACTGTTTCACTAACATCACCGTTTTCCTAATATCTAGATTTTCCTAAAGTCTAGGCACAGTCTTCCTAGTTACAGTTTAGCACATTATATTTAGCCTGCAGAGACACAATTTCTTGTTCTCCATATTGTAGTAGCCTTTTATATGGTTGGGAGATTGTTGCTTCTTTTATATGGGATGCACTAACCAACCCTCATCCTCTGTTTTCCCGTCCTCTTATCATTCTTGGTTGTCTCTGTTGAAACTCACTGCAGTCACTCTGCTCCGTTTTTGGAGCCCGGAGCTGCACCCAGCTGGGTACCTTCCTTCTGCTGAGGCATCACCAGCATCTAGCAGTATGGGAAGGACTGCTTTCCATGCCTTATGGAGAACACTCCATTTTCTTCTTTCTAGTAGCATATGTGCTTTTTAAAACAGCGATACAATACTTTCATATAACTTTTAATTACCTCTTCTGTGGAAGTTCTGCTCAGCTATTATTTCTCATCTTGCTTGCTTGTGGTATTACTAAGTGGTGAACCTGGCACTTGTCCTTATTGAGTTAGATTCTCTACTGCTTAGCATTTCTCTGTTTTGTCAGGACCATTATGAGTTTCAGCTTGTCCTCCAAAGTGCCTGTAGCTTCTCGCAGCTTTAATGTCTCTGGCCATGTAGTAAATACACTCCCTGTTCCATTCTTTGTCATTACTGAAAATGTTTAGTAATGACAGATCTAGGACAGACTCTATGCAAGATCCCAGTTGCCTTCTTTTATTTTTGGAGTGCACCATTGGTAAACTGCACGTGCCAGTCATTTATGTGTCCACCCTTGAGCACTTCCACCAAGATCATACTTCTCTAGCTAACTTAAGAGAATGGCTCGTGAGAAGAAACTAAATCTATTTGACACGATTTATTCTGGATTGATAAATTTGGCCATTGTTTGTCAGCTTGTCATCTCCTAGGAATTCATCTAATTGACCACGTGCTGTAGTACCAGCAGTCTGTGATGTTGAGCTGGACTGTCCACCATTTCCTTGGGTCTGCCTTATCCCCCTTTTTAAAATATAAGAGCTACAATTGTGTTTTTCTTGTTCTCTGGAACTTTATTCATTCTCCACATCTTGGAGATAATAGCTGATAGTTCTGAAGTTGTTCCCTCCACGTTGCAGAAATAACATTAATGCCCATTACTAGTCATAGAGGCTGACTTTTTTTTTTTTTTTTAAAAAAAAAGGTTGCAAAATCCTTCTTATCTCAAAGGACAATCACACAATGTTACTGGACCTCTTTCTCAGGTTTTTCTGACCCTTCTAGAGTGAGTTGTGCCATATCAGACTACCCTCAGATTAGCTCTAGAAGATAGAGCCGAGGCATGACAGGGAGGTGTTACATGCTTAGACCTCCTCACTTTGCATGTGGACTTGCTGATTGCAGCATTTGCAGCTTCTGGTTTCCAACAGAAACACCCAGTTCTGCAGCACCTCGCTGACATCTCGTCAGGGAGCAGTAAGGGTTACACAGATTTAGAGAAAAATTAAACAGAAGCCCAGAATCTGGGTACTATTACGCACATCTGAATACTTGATTGAGTTGGCCAGTCATCAAAAACTGCCAACAATAGTTTCTTTTGTCACAGAGCCTTAGCACAGCGGTCACTGGGATGCCATGGAAATTCCAAACAGTGCCTTAGCTGACCTTGAAACAACTGGCTCTACATGCAGCGAGATGTAGCTTATAGGTAACAACACCTTGTAATAGTAAGGTTGGAAACAACTGACAGGTTTTCAGACAAATAAGCTTATATACAAATTGTCCTAGACCTATGCCAAGCCTTCTAGGGTATGCCGTAAGTTTTATCCACATCTCCAAAGCATTTTTGGTCTCCCAGGGCCAATAATTTTAATTTTCTTGCATGCATTTCCTGACCGGATTGTGTAAGGATCCATTTTGTTGATGGTTGCATCCAGGTGTCCCTTCCTCACATATATTTACCCCCAAATGAGGGGCTGCTGCTGATTCCCTTGTCCAAAGTAGAAAGCAGCTTTCTCTCAAATTGAACTTAAGGTAGTTTATTTAAAGAACTGTCACAAGTTATTTTCTTTAGCATTTGTTATTTTGTTTGCTCAGTCCTATAGTTTACCTACCCACTTACAACCTAAAGGTTTCTGTTCACTGTTGTGATTTCACTGGTACAGATTTTACCCAAAGTACCGCAGGGCAGCTAAAGTACAGCCTCTCGAATGAGTTTCAAGGTATGCTGTATGGAAAGAACAAGAAAGAAATGCACAAGGAAGTATTGAGCAATTAATTATGCCATAATGGAGCAAGGGAGGGAGAAGCGGAGAGCTGGCCCAGTATAAACTCGGTGCCTCTGATGCCAGGATTACACTCGGAGGCATTTGTGCCTCTCTCCATTTTGTGAGGCATGTTGCCAGGCAGAACAGCAGTTACTACGCCCATGGTGGGGTTTACTAGCTTCCACACCGTGTTTGGTGGCTTCTTAACTTCAGGATGAGGAATTAAAGTTTTTTACACAGCAGGTAGTGATTGCCGTTTATGGATTTTTTTTGTAGCAAAAATCTAGCTTGGGATATGAGTATTCCAAATCAGTGTTGAAATGAGGAAGGCACCACAGATGAAGTGTGTTGCTTACCAAAATGCAGCAGTAGCAGTAAAATGTCCGTGTACCAAAACCGTTTCTGCTGCTGCAGATCAAAGCTGGCCTTGAGCGCATCGTGAGTTTGAGGGTTCCTTGGCTTCTCTCATTTTCTTTGTATGCTTTGTTTGAAAGGTGACCTCTGACGTGGTTATGTGCATAGTGGGTATGAGCCATTCTCACCTCCTATTGAGTTGAAGGGATTCATGTCCAAACTAGATAGTACATTTTCCTTCCCTGAGTGAGTTGGAACTGTTTTTCCATGAATTTTTCACTGTCTGAGTGCAACACGAACGTATTGCAGGGCAGACAAACAAGGAACCACTCTGTCTTGCTGCGTAAACGAAGTTGGAATATGAATGTGTGCTTTTCAACAGTGGTTATGTAACCCATGTGTAAAATGCCAGCAAGACCTTCCTCCAAAATGCTGAAACATGCTTTCTGTTCAATGGGAGTGTTCTTTGTCTTTCAGGGGACAATACCTATTTAAAAACAAACCCCCAGATGGCTCCGCTCCACCCAACTCCTTCTACAGAGCACTTTACCCCAAAATTATACAGGACATAGAGGTAAGGAATAGCTTCCAAGTGTTGTTGTTTGTTTGTTTGTTCTGTTTTGTTTTGTATTTTTTACACTCTCCCTGATTTTCTCATGGTGCTCAAATTCTGAGCATATTTCATGCTAATGAAATAAGTTTTTAATTAAATATGATGTTTGTCCAGAGTTTGGAGATCTGGGCTACTTATAAATTCCCAGGATTTGATTGCTCCCTTAAGCAGAGGGTGATTTGTATTGTTCAGTGAGCTGTTTACAGGTGGAGTCTGTATGCCTTGCACATCAGATGTCAGAGCAACACAGTACCACCTTGTCTTTCTCTGTTAACAATGCTGTGCTCCATCCAGCGCAAATGAGATCTTATAGGTGATATGGGGAGGTGTCAGGAACTGAGCAAGGGAGGAAGTGCATTGCTGAAGGCTGCAATCCTAAAACCTAGGGAAACAGGAAACAACTGGGCATTGCTGCCTTGTATTTAGTGGTGGGCAAATGCCAAATGCCAGGTTCTGGCGGTTTCCTAGTGGCAAAAGAGGTGCTCAGGTCCTCTTGCAGCAGGTTTGCACAAGCCCTTAGCTGAGACTTTCTCTGCAATTGTTTAGTTGTTAAATCACAGAGTTAAAAGTTGAAGACAAAAGAAAACTTTAGGTCACTTCTCCCTCATCATTCCATGCAGCACAGATGAGTTCAGCCACAATACGTATTCCAGGCCTCTTTGCCTGTTTAATTGGTTTTATCACGTGTTGCTTTTTCTGGAAAATCGTTTTGTCATTATATGGGCCTGATTGCAGGAATAAGAGTAAATAACAATATTTCTTGTCTTCTCAAACAAACAAAAATAAAGAAGAAAGAGTCCTGTGTTCTGTATTTACTTCTTTTTTGTCTCCTGTCTCCCCTCAAGACAATAGAGTCAAACTGGCGGTGTGGAAGGCACAGTTTACAGAGAATCCACTGCCGAAGTGAGACGAGCAAAGGGGTTTATTGTTTACAGTATGATGATCAGAAGATAGTAAGTGGCCTACGAGACAATACTATTAAGGTGAGAACTCTCCAGAACAGCATGCTGATGGCACTTAATCAATCTGTTTTTAGTAACTTAGCCTTCTCCTTCACCCACCTCATACCTCATACCTGAGCAGCATTTATGCCCCTTACATGAGCCTAGAGACCCTGTTTTCTTCTTGAATTGAATGTGCTGGCAGAGTTTTTGACCATTAGTAATTACTGACTATGTAACTAGTGTGTCCTGTACCTTGATAAGAAGGTAAGACCAGTGTTCATAGTAAACCCAGTAATTTCAAGGTTGTTAATGTGCTGTACCAAACAGCCCGTATGTGACTACAAAAATCAGCCCATGCCACTAAATGTGTTCTATCTGCAATATGGATGTCTGTGTTGTAGAAGAAACAGACCAGTCAGAGCAGTAAGTCCTTGAGGTATGATGAAAAGCTTACTTAGCTGTCTGTTTTCTAATGTTTGCTCTCCTAGATCTGGGATAAGAACACATTGGAATGCAAGCGAATTCTCACCGGACACACGGGTTCTGTCCTGTGCCTCCAGTACGATGAGCGGGTGATCATCACTGGATCTTCGGACTCAACAGTCAGGTGTGTGCTTGTATTTTGGAGCTTTCCATTTGCCTCAAAGAGCTCAGCCTTGCAAACTGCTGGAAGTATCTTTTCTTAAACATGTGCTGTTCGATTAGTTCGATGAAGTAGTTCAGCACATTTGTTCAGGAGTGTACTGTCCTTGTTTATCAGATGTCCATGCAAGTGGCTGTCAAGGAGAAATGAGATCCTAAGCAAAGGTCAGTCAATGTTAAGATGATTTAGGAAGACCATTTGACATTTCACCAAGGTTTTGCATGTTCGGGCACTTCCTGAGAATGTTCTTAAATTCTCCGTGAGAATAACTTGTAAAAACTTGGCTGAAGTTCTCAAAGCAAGTTTGAAAGTTCAGTCATTCGTTGTCCCTTAATTTTAACAAATGAAGTGTGACTAGATCTCCTGTGAGTTTTAATTAAATTTCAGCATGATGATTTTTCCCACTCAGTCTTTCTAACCTTGTTTTCCCTCCAGTCTCCATTAAAAGGCTGAACACCTCAAGTCAGCACATGTGGTGCACATTTTCACTATGCAGATGTAAAGTCCACTAGACATATTACAGGATCCCAGAGAGTTTAAAACCTGCAGTGTAAACACAGGCACATTTGAATTAGTGAGTTGCAATATGAACTTGGACATGGAGGAGATGTCTGTCTTCTCCATGCTGTTAAGTATTCCTCTTTTTGTCAGAGTACCCACGATGCCCATGCAGTGAAGTTACAGATGACAAAAAGTTGTGCCAGTGGCCTTTTAAGAAGCTGTTACCATGTGTTCCTATGGCTGCGGGCTGCTCATGGTTATCACCAGGCTTGCATGTAAACTACTACTGTTAAGCTGGTGACCATTAAATTCAGTTCTTTACATGTGATGTATGCAGTCTTGTGGTGCTGCTAGATTTTGGGATCCTACCATTTGCAGGAATTGAGAATTTCAGGGTGGGAGCTGCACTGTGCTAAACACAGGTTGCAAAAGGAGATACTTATTTCTGTAACAAGCACTATCACTTTACATCTCAGGCCAGGCAGGCCAAATTGCAGACTGGCTACTTGCCCAGAAATACTTCGTTTCCCACTGTATCTATAAATGTTTGTGCAGACCCCAGAGGCACATAGGATGCATCACTTTTATCCTTGGGTCTCCTCAGGAAGAGGGGCTTCGTCCAATAGGCAGTACAGATGGACTCTTAATGCTTCCGAGATCTCAGGGATGCACTTGTCCAGAGAAGTCAGTAGGTCTCCAGCTCCTGTTCAGTTTGGCAACCCTGTCTGCAAACTGCTTGTATGCTAATGGCTCAGGTCTTTAGTTTGTGATCTTTTTAACTTTGCATTTTGTAATCGGAAATGTACTTTACTTTCTCATTTATAATGCAGAAGTTGATGCGCTTCAGCTTCCATGCAATAGAAAATAAGACATTAGAAGTCTTTCTCACATCTTGCTTCTTCTCAGTGTATTGGCAGAGGAAAGTTTCAGCTTCTGCAGTGTCCGATAAGCCTGTTGATACAACTATTTTCTGCTCTCACGTAGTATATCTGGGATACAGGTGTGATAGTGACAAAAGAAATCATATTATGGAGTGTAAAAGAAGTTTACAAACAGAACAGCCCAAAAGGAACAATTTTTAAGGCTTAAAATACCCATTTCAAGTCCTAGAAGTTCTGTAGGAAGCCTTTGTCTGACTTTCACCTTAAATTATCATTCAGCTGAAGCAGTTGGTTCCAATAATGTTAAATCAATATAAATGCTCTGTCTTAATTTGGGTGTTCAGCACATTCCTAGAATGTAGTTGTGTACCAGATACATTGCAGAGTAAATGCAATTCATTGTGCAACTTGTGGCAGTTACTTATATTTGTTTGAAAAGCATAATCTTGTCTTCTGCCTCTGCATAAATTATCCTTTGAGTTGATAGTCCTGTGAGAGAAGTAAAAAATTAAACCTGTCTCTAAACTTCCTTCTTCACAGGTTGTGTTTAAGTACTCAGTGACTGGAAGTGGAGTGTGGTAGGCTGACGTTACCAGGAAACATCAGTCCCTAGGGCTGTCAGTCTCATACTTTTCCTCAGCACTAAATTCTCTTAATTAAAGAATGCTTTTTTTTTTTTTAATGGCTTTTTTTTTTTAATGGTGTTAACTGCATTGCAGGGTTTTGGCTGCTGGACTGCCTCAACGTATGCAAAATCAACAGGTTTATATAATATATCTTTTAATGAAATATTTAATAGATTTAGCTATAACTTGTGCTGTTTGCTTCTCTAATATTGCTAGAGAGTTAATTACCTCTCCCCATCCCTCTGTCTCTCTCTCTGCAGAAAATCTGCTGTACAGTTTTTTAACTCTCTCCTCTCTGGTTTGAAATCTGAAACTGCAGGGTGTGGGACGTGAATGCGGGCGAGATGCTGAACACACTGATTCACCACTGTGAAGCAGTATTGCACCTCCGCTTCAATAACGGCATGATGGTGACATGTTCCAAAGACCGATCCATTGCCGTGTGGGACATGGCCTCACCAACAGACATCACCCTGAGGAGAGTGTTAGTAGGGCACCGAGCTGCTGTCAATGTAGTGGACTTTGATGACAAGTACATCGTATCAGCATCAGGTGACAGAACTATCAAGGTGAGGTATTTCAGAGGCTTTTTATTTGGGTATTTAACAATTAAGAACAGTGACCAGACAGGAAAGATGGTCTTTAGCTGTTATTACACAAATCTTCCTTTAGAAGCAGTATTCTTCCTGCTGCTCACTTCCACTAGTTCCTCTTCTGTTGAGCTTGCAGAACTTGTTTACAGAGCTGTATGGCAAATCAGATCCAAGTGCAGATGTAGTTGAAAAAGGACTATTTTTCCTGGGTGCTTTTTCAACTTGACTGGTTCCATAATCTGTTTCAGCATTGGTTGCAAAAAGAGTTGTCAGAAAGGGCAGCATGGGGGCAAAAGCAAAGGTGAGTGCACAGGAGTCACTTCAGTGTTACTGCTGTGATCCCAAGCTGCAGCATTAAAACTGTGTTCCTGTGTAGACTAAATCATAGCCCGAGAGTGCTGAAGCCTGATTTTGGAAGCTAATTCTAATACAGTATGGCAAAAACCTGTGTACAGTGACCCAAGCTGCTAACAGTTGCAGGCTGTAGTCACAAGTCATTGGAGGGGTAATTTTCCCAGTCTTAATGGTCATGTCTCCAATTAAGAACATCCTCAATGCACCTGTATGTCATACAGCTACCAGCTTTCGTTAGTCTCTCAATAATTTTGCCTGTGTGGTTCCCCCCCTTCCTGTCACAGGTATGGAACACTAGTACCTGCGAATTTGTGCGCACCTTAAATGGCCACAAACGAGGCATTGCATGTCTGCAGTACAGAGACAGGCTGGTAGTGAGCGGCTCTTCAGATAATACTATCAGGTGAGAGACACGGACCCCACTGCAGATTTCTTTGCAAGCACGTTCTCTCCGATTCCCTGGGATGTGCGGAGGTTAGGCAAGCGAAGTGCTCTGTACCCTTGTCTTCCTTGAAATATGCTTCCTTTGGTATAGAACATTGGGAACTACTGAAAAGAGATATTAGAAGTCTGGTTTACTGTGTTGTCTTTCATCCTCTGTATCTCCAGAGTCCCATACTAATCAACAAGTTGCATTGCTCTGACAATTCTGGTGTATGAAAGAGCTGGCAAGTACCACTTTCTGTGATGTCCTCTTGTGATATTTTAATTGGGCTATGTGTCTAGTTAAAGGGGTCAGATTTGCTGTAAGAGGCATTTAATCCTCTGCAGAAATCCTCCTGGGCTCTGGCCAAACTCTTCTTGTGGTACTTGGCACTGGGTTAAGTTTGGAACAGCTGGTTTAGAGCATGAAGTTCAGTTTGCTGCCTTTTGCACTTCTCCAGCTGCCCTTGTTGCAATCCGAGATTTAACTCCTTCTGGTATCGTGAGCCAGGATTTCTCCCCACATCCTGCAGCTGCTTGCACAGGGATGTCCCACTAATCTCTGGGTGTACTGAGCAAGCTTGGAGAGTACTGTAAGTCAGGTAGGGGTTGGCTCTGTCATGCAGACAGAAGGACGAGCAGCCTCCCTTTTGTCTTCACCATGGCTTTACAGAACTGTGTGCCTTTTGATAAAATTTTAAAGGTGGACAGGCTAATTAGAAAGCTTTTACTTTCCGTGTCAGAAATTATTTCTCCTCAGTGAGTATGATTCATGCTGATGTTTGCCCGTGGAGTTTGCTTGCAGTACGCTGCCTCTCCCTGCTTTGCATTCTGGAAAATGGTGGTCCTCTGGTTGTTATTACCAGGTTGTTGTACCAGATTTTAGTATATGGCTGTTTGAGAGCATGACCAAGAAAGCTGGAACTTCTGTCTGTTAATCAGGGGAATCGGTATTAATAGGTTTGTGTAAGAACAGCACCACGTATGTATTAAGACCTCCTGCACTTCAAACAGAATCAATAACACTCTGCAACCATGCTGTGAAACTTGGTCTCAGAATTAGAGTAAGAAATAGTTAAATGCTACACCGGTTAGGGAAGGATCTAAAATATGACTTGTAATACTAACAAAAATAAATGTCAATGTCACGATAACACTACAGAGGAGTATGATTACTTTTATGCTTACATTGGACAAAATCCCTAGCTGACAGATACATTGTGCTAGAATTCCAGGAATGTTGGCAGTGAATCCTAATGGAAGTCCAGTTTGGCAACCGCGTGGGCAAGGTGCAAGGCTTACCTGTTCACATAGTTGTCTCTCAGCCATTAGCAGAAGGCACATGTCAGTGGAAGGGTGATTAAGAAGAGGCAGGTTACTAAGTCCTCTCCGTGGGTGGCTTGGTGTTTTGTACGTGTGATTTTAATCCGTTGTAAAATAACAGATGTTGTGTGTTGGCCTTCAGTAGCAGTTGCCTCCTGATAGGGAATGTGAAGTTTTCCAAAAACACATTCAATTGCAAAAACACTTTCTACTGCAACAACACAACTTTGTTTCTCACAATTCTCAAGCCAAAGAGCAGTTTTCTTACAGTTCAGTCATTTGACTATTTAAAGAAGTAAACATTTGAGGAGGTTATCAAATCTGGCAGGTACCTTTGGTATCATTTCTAGATGTATGTGAAGTCCCGTTCCCCACATGGCTAAGGGCTGTGATCATCTCTTCCTAATCACAATCAAATTCAGGTAAAAAATCAAACTGGGACCTGATAATACAGGCCTGAATTAGTGTGGTGCAGCTTCCCAGAGCTGCTGGCAACCTCAGGATTGATGGCAAAGAATGGAAACACATGGCACAGAAGTTCCTGGCACAAGATTGCTCTTTAAACCTTTCTGCGCCAGTTCATTTCTGGCATTGTCCGTCCTGTTTGCAGTCCTTGGGAGGCTTAATGCTCTCTGACCAGCCAGAGTGCCTTTGGCTGACCTTTGCCATGAATTTGCTTGCTCTGACCTTGTCTGGTGTGCTGGTGCTAGTGTGAAAACTACTGGGATCTTCACAGGTTCCTGAAAGGTTAACTTCACAGCCTGAAGAATCACCTTCTGCTCCTTTTTGGCTTCAGATGTGTGCACAAAGTGACCCTTTCCCAGTACAGCAAAGAAAAAGCTCTCTTCATTCCTTGGTTGGCCAAAGTGAGGGCAGCTTGTTGTGGCAGGACAGACGAAATGATTATCCACCATCCTTGTGCACATGCCCACTGGATTCGGATTATTCCCTGGGGGATCCCAGGAGTGAAATGCGTGGGGATGATTTATCTCTCTGTCTCTCAAGGAAAAGTCACCTCACCCCTCAGTGGCAGTGTTTCTTTGGGTTATGTCACCCAGAAAGATCCCACGAACCATGAACCTCACTCCTATGAAGTCCCTGCCAGCCTGAACTCTGACCGAATGAGCATTCAAGAGCACGTGTGATTGCTTTCTTTCAGCTGTGTGTCAGAGCCTCGGCAGATGCTGCTGCTGAAAGATTGCTGTTTGGCATGAACAGAGCACATCTCACCTGGAGGGAATACCTGTAGACAATACGTGTCAAGAATATCAGTTCTCATAGGCAAATAATCCTTCTTTATCCATGATAATCAGCAATCACATCAAAAAGCTGGCAAAAGTATGGAAAGCAAACAGACTTATTTCTTATAACTGTTGCAAGCATTTCTTAAATATTTTTCAAAGTAGTTATCTAAGTGTAAAAATTAATGTATTTTAATTTATTCTCCATACTAAACATCCTTTACAAAGCCCCAGACTGAGTTTTTTACAGTCGAAAGGATAAGACATTGCTCAGTCTGTTACTGGAATATTGCTTCCTAGTTTTGGTGCTAGAAGTTTTTATAAAAAGTTGGATTATTGGAAACAGCTAGCAGTGAGCCACGGAAATTATTGGAGAGCAAGAAGAAAATGCATTTCAAAATTATAAACACAGACTGCCCATTTTAGCTTAAGTATATGGTGCCTTGAGTAGATATACCTGCAGTGAGAGAAAATGACAAATAAAAGGGGCTTGTGAATTCTTGTGCCATCACCACTGTATTGATGTCTTCCTTTGTCTGACATCAGCCTCCAAACCAGAAATAGGCATATAGGGGTACAGAAAGGGGCATGTGCCCTCTGAAGGTGATTTTACCCATTGGAACAAGCTGCCAAAGGACTGGTGAGGCTCCCTGTCTTAACACCTGCAAATCAAAGCTGGATACTTTTATGAGAAACTGGCTCCAGTAAAATAAAGTTATGAGGCTCCCTAGAAGATAGCTGGGATATAGCCTGTGTGTGGCTTGTGTTACTGGGGGAGTAGGTGGTAGACATGACTGATCTTAAGATGTTTGGATCTCTGAATCATTTCCTATGTGATACCAGGGTCATGTTGAAAAACACACATCAGATTCACTGCAGGAAAAGGAGTGATGAATATAGGTTGTTTCTCCTTTGTTGTTTTATCATAAATTATATAAATTATATAAATTATTCCAAGTTTCCATTAACGACAAGCAAAGGCCCAATGTTTCCTTGTAATAATCCGTTATTCAGAAATTCTCATTACTTCCTAATCTTTTCCAGGCTATGGGATATCGAGTGTGGGGCATGTTTACGAGTACTGGAAGGCCACGAAGAGCTGGTGAGATGCATACGCTTTGATAACAAGAGGATAGTCAGCGGGGCATATGATGGGTGAGGCTGTCAGTGCCATTAATACCTTGCATCCTCCTCTTTCTATTTCACATCCCACTTTGCTGGATCTTCCTTATGAAAATTAGGCTCTTTGTCATACTAAGAGGTCCTTTTCTTGGCCAGTAAATCAGGATGATGCCACAAAGTACACCTTTGTTTTTTTGTGTGTGTTTTTTTTTTACTTGCTTTTTAAATAAGTCAGTGTGATTTGATGTGTGTGGTTCATTTCTTTAGCTTGTAAGATATCTGGCAGACTAGAATTGTAGCATCTTCTAGCTGAACCATTGGTAAGAACAGTTTTTCCCGTCTGTGGTTGTCTTCTGGCCCATTTGCCATTAGGGACTAGTGTCTGCACTAACCCTCCCACGTGTTTCTTTTCGTTATTATTACCTGACTTTTATATATTTTACTTTGTCGACAACACACTCTTTTCTCCCATTAAGCTCTGTGAGCTTTACAGAGGGGAAGTGCAAGAACCATGTCTCAAGAGCAGTATTTCTGTAGTTTTCCATGGATGGCTGTATCAGCTAAGCTGTGCAAACAGTTCTTTTTTTTTTTTTTTTTTTCTGTGAGCACTTGATTCCTTTTTGACAGAGCCATGGTGTTTTTCTATTTATTCACTACTAGGAAAATTAAGGTATGGGATCTTGTGGCTGCTTTGGACCCCCGTGCTCCAGCAGGGACCCTCTGCTTGCGAACCCTTGTGGTAAGAGCTTTTGGTAGGGGTGGTGGAGGGAGCAGAAAAGTGTTTGTGCTCAGGGCTGTCTTGAGCCATGAAATTTTAAGTCAGTTTAGCACCAATCTGCAGGATCTAAAAATCATTTCCAACGGTCTGGCTTCTGTGGGCATCCAACTCTTTCTTTCAATCTTTCAGGCTGTAAAGGATTAAAAATTAACACCTGTGGAGGTTTCATTCACTTTCCAAGAGCCTTGTTCTGTGATCTGAAGTTAATAACTAAATCATTTTTGAGACTTTTCCTTCTTGGAGTCCATGTACTGGTGGGTTTAGTTCAGTCTGTATGTACCTAGTGATGTAGCTGTACACGGTGTTGTGAGTTGTTGACAGGAAACTTCGTAAAGAAAAGTAGTACATTCCAAATTGGAGGAGAAAAATAGCAACAAAAGCAACCTTTTCATTGCTTTTAACTGTCTTTTGGGTGTTTAAGGAAACAAAGGCTAAGGACTGGAACAGACAGTGAAATTGCTTCGTCCTTAAACAGTGACTACTGCTTTAATGCTCTCCAGTGATATTTAGTGCAGGTCTGATGATGGTGTGGTAAAAATGTCATTGTGTGAGTGTTAACAACAGGCGCAGTCATGCTTAACAGTGGCTTTGCACTGGTCTTGAAATATTTTGACAAAAATAACAGAAAATCCAAGGCCATGTGGTCTTTCCTATAAGCATTCCTTCATCACGTTCACCCCAAAAAACATGCACTGCTGCTGCTCTGATAGACTTGCCTGGGGTTAAAGGAAGATCTCAGTCCAGTAAGGTATTCACATTGAATGAAAAAGAAAGTACTGAATTATTATTTTATTTTAGAAAAGACATTTTGGCATGATGTTGGATTTATTAGACCTTTTCGTGCAGTGGCCTGTGACCGTTGTGTGCTCTAAACCCCTAAAGGTGTGGTTACCTCTCATCAGCTGAGCTGCTCCACCTGACTTTCTGCACAGGCATCTACCACCCCAACTGCTACTGTTGCTGTAGATTTTGCTAGATTTTGCCAATTTTTTTGCATTTTACGTCACACCTTGCATGGGCTATGAGGGTTCCTGTGACTCAGCTGACAGGCAGTCGATCATTAATCAATACTAACTCTTCCAGTCGTATTTGGACCAAAAGCTGCAGAGTAAGAGTCTGTGAGAGCCTTGGATGCCTGCAGGTACTACAATGAAAAACCTTCTTGGTGGCCAGGTAGAACTGCAAATAATTTCTTGGCCAAAATCCAGAAAGCCCCTTTGTCTTCAGCCATCCCGTTGCAAAGTACGGAACAACTCCATGCCCAGGAACGCTTTTATCCCAAGAGTCTAAGACTTCAGCTTGATAGTAGTGTTCTTGCTCCAGCCTGAGACGAATGTGTGCCTGGTAACCTGTAGACTTAATTTAACTGGTGTGATTTCCTCTGCATTTTCCAGCAGTGGACAGCCAAAGTGCCCCAACTAATTATATTATAAATCAGAAGCGGTGGGATGGAAACACTGTAGGAATCTCAACACATGGATCCTCATAAATCCCTGTTTGATAGCGATGGAGGGGGCCAGAAGAGGAGGGGCAGAGGAGGCTGTTGTAGTGCTTTTAGGGCTTTTCATGTTTATGACAACAGGGCGTCCTTATACCCGCTTACCCATGTTTTTTTTTTTCTTCCTCTCTTCCCTCGGCCTCCAAAATTAAACCTGGCTGCACAATGAACATCGTGAGTCTCCTGCTGCTCATGTTCAATTTTCAAACAGTAGGAGGAAAGTGCACAGATAACAAATGCTCGCTGCATGCCAGGTCCCTTCCGTTAGCTGGAACAGCGGCCGCCTGAGTTTGACAGAAGCTTTCCAAGCGCAGAATAAGTGCAGCTTTCCTCGTGAGCTAAAAAGTCCAGGTCCTTTTCAAAACAGTTTTTAGAAGTACCTCTCTCTTGGTGTCCTTGAGAACAGTCCCTCAGTGGAGCTGACAGCTGTAGTGATACTTTTAGCAAGAGCTTCTTTGTTGATATAATATAGAGTCTGGAAGCACATTTCTCTTTGGTGGGAAGATAGAAAGTGGTTTTAAGACAAATTGGGGTTGTTGTTATTTGGTTAAAAGACCAGGAAGGTCTGAATAGCTGGAATTTTTAAAAAAATTGTCATAAAAATGGAATCAGACTTAGGGGTGTGTGTTTGTTTGCAGTTCATTTAGAGATTCAGAGATTCCCTTTAAAGCAGCCATTGTGTTCTCTCTGTTCTTCTCAAACGGAGCTGCATTTTCAGAGTCCTGTGCCGTAAGACAGATTTCCCATTTAGTAGCTAGTAATTCTGTCTAAATATTTGAAAAAAAAATCCATTTTTCAATATTAAAATACTTGTAAGCATTTTTTCCAGACTCTGAGCCTCTTCCAACACGTAGACACTCCAGAGAAATATGTACTGATAGAAGAGAGAGGGCTTGTCCCACCTGTGTAGTTTCTGTTCCCTTCTGATCTAGGTGGATGTTCCTGCTCGCTCTTGCAGCAGTAAGCACCAAGAACAAATAGCCGGCACAAAAGGGAAAGCATAGTGGATTTGCTCTGTGATATCCAGGATCTTGCCGTTACCTCCTGTTAATTACAGGCTGAACTCTTGCCAAATCGTCATGCCATTTCCACTCAGCCTCAGAGCAGAATGCAAACTGCCTATAAAGAATGCCCTTTCTGGTTCATATTTTTAGAACTGCTTAAGAGGAATTATTACGGTGTCACTGGACTTTACAACAGGCTCCTTAGTGTCCTCCAGTATTAAGCTCTTGCCTCTTCTGCAGCAGTAATGGTGCCAAGTCTTGTCTGTGAAATTCTTGTCTCTCCCCCTGTAACCTCCTGCATCTGGGAGTGCTGTGATTTCAAGGAAGAATTTTGCCATAAAACAAGGAAGAGACTGCTCCCGTCAGCCTCACCAGGCTGCTCCCTGTGGTGGAGAGAGCTTGGTTGTTATCAGGACTGAAGGAGTGATAAGTAAATGTAATATAAAATTCCTGCGAGCCAAGAACACAGATATGGCAGACTCATTTCACTGAAGATGGTTTAGTTTACACTACGTGATGGGAAGGCACAATGTGTCATATAGAATTTTCTGACCGAGTAATTAATATAGTGCTAGAATCCCAGCCCAAGCTTTTCTTTCCTGCTCCATCCTAGGTGCCAGCAGGTTTGTGAATTAACATGCTGTGTCTTCCACTTGCTTTTAGGAGCATTCTGGAAGAGTCTTTCGACTTCAGTTTGACGAGTTCCAGATTGTCAGCAGCTCACACGATGACACCATCCTCATCTGGGATTTTCTGAATGACCCAGCTGCCCAAGCAGAATCCACTCGTTCCCCGTCCAGAACGTACACTTACATCTCAAGATAAATAACACTACACTGTACCTCACACTCGCACAGGTAAAAATACTAGTAATAATGATAGTAATAATTACAGAGGCTCAAAGATGACACTGGACATAATATGAGCATGCTGCTTGAATGCCTAGCTGAGTCTATCAGTATTTCTCATCTCAGTTACACAATAACTGCAGCGACCTGTGAAAGGACAGCAAGGATTCTGGTACCTTAGAACAAGGTCTTTATCCTAGGATTTGTGGCATGTGGTGCCTGTGAGTTTTCTGGAAGAACTCCTCCTCTGTCCATCATCATCAATAATTAAATCAGCTATCACTGCTGTCCAGAAGGAGGAAGGGTTTCTGCAGAGCGAGCAGAGCAGCTGCTGCCTAACAAGGGGATGCAGATGGCCTGACCCTGGGCAGTTGTAACCAGGCAGGAGTGTTTCGCCAAGAAGTGTCAGCTTTATTCCCTCCCGCTGAAGTGGTGACCATTCTTCTCGCTCTGCAGCAAGCTGATTCAAGAGAACAGTTTGGCTAAGGGGGGAGATTCTGAGGCACAAGACCTGGCAAATTAAATCGAGATGCATCAATATGCAGAATCATTTACTGACAGGGCCAGCCCTCCTCCTTTCTACTACAGCATGGCTGTTAAATTGCTCATGGCAGAGCCTGGCTGGTCTGCACGTCACCTTACCTTTTTGTCTCGGCCAGCACAACGTGGGGAGGAAATTGTGGTTCTTATGTTTGGGTCATTTGCAGAGTGGATTTGATGTCTGTCAGCAGAGTGGGATGGCATCATTGCCCTCTGTGGTGGGTACCACTGCTGTTAGTAGCTTGAGAAAAAAGGCAGATGAGCTGACAGGTTTCTGCAAGGGGATGTTCATGATGACATTTTTCCATGAAAATGCTCTGTCCTGGAGCACATCCTATATCCTGTTTGATGAGTAAATATACAGTGATGCTCCAGAGCTGTCACATCAGCTACTTTGATTTTCTCAAACACTCTGGTCAATCAGGTGTTCTTTTAAATCATTAAAAGGCTTAGTACAAATGGGGTTTGTTTGGTTTGTTCTGTTTTTTTTGTTCCCAGGACTCATTTAAGCTGCAGTATTTAAATTATCTGCCAATGCCAGGACAAAAGAACTATCCACGTAACCAATACTTGCTGAAGAGAGAAGCTCTCAGACTTGTTTCTGGAACAAAGTTGGCATGCGGTTGATCTCAGACAGGGTCTACTCAGCGCGGCTGACTGCTAAAGTGCTGCTATATCAGAAGATGACTTTTATCTTTCATGAACAATTAACATTTTTAAGCCTTCCCATCCCTTTCCTCCCTCGTCCCCATCTTCCCGTTCACTCCTCTCCCCTTTACCCTGTTTGGTTCCCCTCCAAACCCAGTCACAGATGTCCTGTGAATATATTTAAGATGTTGCCAGAATGTGTTGCTTTGCTCATAAGCAGAAGACTTACAGCCACAGTGCACCCTGCTGGGAGAGTCACTCCGGGGTGGGTGGGGAGGAGGCTGCTACTCTCAGACTGAAATCAATATCCATTGCTAGGCCTTTGTAAAAGCATTCGACTCTGAAGAGCAAGAGAAACGCGTGTAACAGCCAGACCAGGGCCCCCCCTTCCCCGTGGCTTTTGGCTGTTTGACTGCAGACCTATTCCTTTGGAGAGAGGACCCTTGAAATTTGACTATTATGAGCTAAATCCATCTCCTTCCTCTCCTGCCTGCTCTGCTAACCCTTTGGAAGCTGGATGTGTATCGTAGTCTCCTTTAACATCTGCTTTGCTGGGGAATGCTAGTCAGTGAAAAGTTAAACGCTCTTCTGCCAAAGTCCCAAGCATGAGGGACTGGGGCCGAGGTCCAGTTCCCACCATCCCAGTGAAACGTTGTCTGAGGACAGTACTTCACTAGCAAAGAGGTGGTTTGTATGAAGGACAATCTTACCCCTGCTGTTCTCCCTGAAGACAGCTGATGGCTTAGGAATCGTTCTGTAAATAGGACGAGGAGGGGAGCTGGGCTCTGCTCCTTTCCTTCCATCCGAGGGTACAGTCTCCTGGTGATGGCAGGTGGGTAGATGACAGCCAGTTTTAAAGACAGTGAAGTTCAAAGTGGTTCCAGGACAACTCTACAGCAGTTCTGGGGCTGGCCTTACTAGGAAGCTCTAGCAGGGAGAGCCTTTGGTGTGCTTCTCCAACCTATGTGCATGCTGCGTTGCGGTGTAGGGACACGGGATGATCAGTCCCTTCGCTGATAGCTGAGCTGGATCTTCGCTTTCTGGCCGAGGCTTTTGCAAATCGCTGTTGTTTAGGAGATTAAAATAACCCTGGAGGGGAGGGACATGAGAAAAAAAAACTCTGCCTACCTCCGAACTAGATAGAGAGGTCTGGGGAACGTGGCTCTTTCTGGAGAGCTGCAAGGAGTTGCAGCAGGCCTGCGTTTGGGTCAGGAAGGTCTGTGTAAATCATCCTGGCCGTTCTGGGCTGTGCCCACGTCTCCCACTGCAGGTCTTGAATAACCCCACTGGGTTACAGCAGGGAGTTGCTCCAGTCCTGCAGTGGGAAGTCAGGGCGCTTTGTCTCTGGGCTAGGGGAGTTTGAAACAGGCTTTGTAACACCCTCTGAACTTGGAACTTGGCAGAGGGAAAATTATATTCAGCTATTCTCATCATCTTCACTTTGCTATGGAAGCAGTTGCGTTGTTTCTAATTGCTTGGGATGCGCTTTTCCCACCAATGAAATCTTGCAAGGAGCCGGGCCCAGGGTCCCCAAAGAGCAGTTCAGAGGGCTTAAATCATTTCGGTGACAGCCAAGATGGATGAGCAAGCACTGGAGGTATGGAGGAATGGAAAGCAGGTGCGTAGGGTGTACCTGGCACGGTTCCTGCAGCGCATGAGCAGCAGTGCTAAGCACCCAGCTCCCTGGGTTTTCGTTGAGCCTAGAGACTACATCGGTTCAAAAGAGCATCTCAGAGCGTGTGGTGACACTCCTGTTTGAATTATCACTGTAAAAAAGGGTCAAACAGGTTAACTCTGCTCTGTTCAGGTAACATTGACAGCGTGACTTATCCCTGCAGAGTCCTAAATGTTCTGAGTGACGATAGTAAGTTCACCCACAACAAATTTTGACACTACTTCTGAGCCTAGGAAGGCCGTTTGAGATTTCAGGCAGTTCCACATATCAGACATAGTGCAGTCCCAAAGCAAAACTGGCCGGGGAGCAGGGAGAATCAAAGTGCACATCCCAGCCATCTCTCAGTTCAAGTTCTGCATCTTATTCCTAATGTTATTTGAGCGCTGTTCCTCTAAGTTCAGTTATGGCCTCGTCTGCAGCATGGTTGCATATCAGTAGGGGATAAACCTTGGCTTCAGATTTAATAGCTACTTCCCTCGCTTTGTCTGGTCATCCTCTGTCTTTTCCATTTAGGTCACTGTAGAAAACACCAGTCTGTTACTCCAGCCTCTGAAGGCTGCAGACTTCCTAATATTATAATGCGTCCTTGTGGGTACCGCCTGCAAGGATGCATTTTATTTTATTACTTGCAAGAATTTGGGAGAAATGGAGGACGGGCTGGCCAAACAGAGTCGCCACCACTGCAGATTGTCCATGGTTGTCGTAGCCCTGCTGCTCCGTGCTGCTGTCCTGTAACTTCTGAGCGCTGCTGGGTGCTCGAATGGTGGTTAACCATAGTTTGAACTCTGCTGTATGGAGCTGTTCAAGGTGCAGTTTGTGAGCAACAGCTGAGATCTGGTTTTGGCAAACGATAAGAGCAGTGGCTCACCTTCCAGAAGGGGCTGTCTGGGGACTTGGTACAGAGCTGCAGGAGGGCAAGGCTTCCTACCCCGCTCCCGAGTTGTACAGATTAGCTGATAGCTAAGAAGGAAACTGAAGTTAACTGATTAACTTGAACTTGAAACTGCCACAGCCTGACATTTGGTGGTGTTCAGTGTACCCCCAGGGAGGAGCAATCTGGTAAGTAGATCTCTCAGTGTCAGCAGAGAGTGGCTTTTTCAAATTCCCCCCTTAGGATACGTGTGTGTGTGTGTGTGTGTGTGTGTAAGAGTGCATGTGAGAGAGAGGTTTCAGCATGAACCGACTGGGTAAATCCTCGGCTGGGTCGGAGCAATTGCAGAGTTTATCATGAAAAGAGCTCGAACGTGCTTGCTGAAAGGAGATACAAAGGGGCTGGAAGTGTCTGTGGGCTCCAAGTGTTTGCACATTGCTTTGAAATGAAATGAAATACCTCTGCTGAGTAGAGATCGTCACTTCTCCCACGAGTAGGAAGCTCGCGCTAGCCTTCCACCTCGAACTACGGGATCCAAAGTCCTGGAGGTGCGGGACATCAGAGCAGGACAGCCTGCTGCGGCCACACCGCCTCCTGCTTGTGACTCCTTGGGCAATAGGGCACAGTTTCGCTGCAAATATTTCTCATCCTCAGAGGAGCACGGCTTGCTTTAAAATATGCAAATAGAGAACGGCATGAAGGGATTTGCAGGTGGGAGAACTTGCGCGGCTGTCTCCTGGGGAGCAGCTCCCTCTGCTCCTCACCAACCTTCAGGGACAGACACATCGCTGCTGGAACAGAAGGATTCGGGTGACCAGTCAAGAAGTCATCAGAAACGCTGAAATGCTTTACACTTGTTCCTAAACTGGAAGCTGACTTGGACCACCATGCTCCACCTCCCTGCCTCTTGCTCCAAAGGATCCTTTTTTCTTTTTCCTAATTTTTTTTTGTTTTGGAACAACTCTGAAAAAGCTGGAGAGTATCATGGTATCGTATGCATTTCTCTGCTCCTGGGTATGTGTTTCCTGCCCCTGCCACGTGCTCCTTTCCCAGTCTGAGCAGAGCCCCAGGCTTGGCTCTGAGGTTTTTAGCATCCCGGCTCTGATGGGAAGCACATCTCCAGCCTGGGCTCCTTGCCTAGCTCTGAGAGCACCTTCCTTCAGCACCATTTTAGATCTGACGTTCCTGGCTGGTGATTCCCAAACTGGCATATTTGTGGGTGATGCACAGAACCAGCAGCTCTTCCCGGTTAGGGAAGCTGACGCCAGCCTTCCTCCTGCAGGCTCGCTCTCGTGGGAGGAGAAGGAGGAGACAACCCCCGTGGTTGAAAGCTAGGAAGGAAGTGTGGGGATGGAGATGGACCTCTACGGGAGTGGGGACAATGCTGAAGATAGATTTCTTAGTTTGTGTACGAGGCTCACAAGAACAAAGGGTTTCTCTAAGAACATCAGAAATGTTGGGAGGTAATCAGGTGTTGCCTCCAGCTGCTGAACTGCTCGGCTGATGCCCCCTTTTGGGTTGCAATGGGGGCATGAACTGGAAGGGTTGGTCTAAGATATGTTGGCCAAGAGAAGAAGGAACATTGCCGGGGTTTCCAAGTGGCATGCATGATGCATCTGACGTGCTGAGCCTTGCCCTTCTGTTGTCCCCCCAGAAGCAATAAGCAACAGCTTCCCAGAAGGAAGGGGGAACAGCAAGAGCCCCGGCTGTCCCCGGAGGAGGTCTCCATATGAAATCCCTCCTACAGAAGCAACAGGTCCCTTGGGTGCAGCCCCAGCAGTGGGCCCAGGGGAGCGGTTGCCTGCTGAGGCTCAGATTTGGCTTCTTCTCCTTTTCCCTTCCCCCTCTTTTTTTTTTTTTTTATTTTTTTAATGAGCTATAGACTAACTCCTGGCACATTCCCAAAGCTTCTCTCCCATGGCGAGCCTTGATACCGGGCCAGAATAAATCGTCCTTTGTCTTGTCAGAAAATTCTTCCCGTGACTTTGTGCTTGCTCTCAAAACCCGTTGGGTTTCCCTTTTTGGCCCCGATATCCCCCAGGAGTTGTCACCACCAGTTAATCCTCGGTGACATTAAACAGATACTGAAAATTAGAGGGATGCTGATGTGTGTAGATGTACGAGCCTTTAATATATCGTAACTGACTCCTAGATAGGTCCCTTTATTAATAACCTACTACCCTAAAAGGTATCCTGGTTCCTGCCCAAGCAGGAAACGAGAGCAGCCGTGGCCAGAAAATCAGCCTGAGACACCAGTCTTCATCACAGAGCACCTCAGCTCCCTACCTGTACACTGAAATAAATTGGCTCACCTTTACAGACAGTGTTTTAAGCCCTGCGTGCAGGAGGAAGGCTGGCCAGCCTGTCCCGGGCTGTATGCTGGGACCAACAAGGAGCTGGCTGTGAGATTTTGGGGGAAATTCAGTGTGAGAACCTGGCGCTGTTTGGGGAGCAGAAATGTGCTTTCAGCTGCTTTGTCTTTATCATGTGAGGCATTGCAGGGCTCAGCCAGCCTACCCACAGTTTTAGCATGGCAGAAAATAATTTGGGGCTGAGCAAAAAGGAGCAGGGCTGGTTTCTCCAGCTATTTACCATCGGTACCTTCCTGAGAGCCTGCCAGGCCAGCCTGTGCTGCATCCCTGCCTGCTCAGACTGAGAGGGGAGCGGGAGTGAGAGAGGTGAGAAAGAACATGGTTTCTCCAGAGTTTTTGGGTTGTTACCCTGCTATATTTGTTATCCGGATTCTTAAGTAATGAGTGCTTTGAATTTCGTGATTATGTTACGGTGATGTGTAGTTAATGTACTAATGTTCACTTGAGCTAGGGTCATGGTAACAGTGTGTTTTGTTTCGTTATCTTTTCTTTTTTCTTTTTTTTTTTGTTTTTTTTTTTTAACTGTTCAGAAAATAACTTAAATACAAAGGTTAAGCTGTGAATCTCTCCTGTTTTCCTTTTGCTGGGAAGGACCCGTGTCTTTGAGCCCCCTGTGTACATGGATCGCACGTCTGGTACAGGGCACCAGAAAAAAGAACAACAAGCAAACAACACTTACTCCGAAAACCACAGCATACTTTTTAATTAACAAACTCTCCATTCGTGGCTGATGGCAAATGAGTCCGCCCTGCAAGTCAGGGAGGGGATGTGACTGACGCACCGAGCCCCAGCCGGCCTGCCCATTAAAAAGGGGTGGGTGGGGGGAAACTATAAAGACTTTGTGCTTTTCTGGATCCTCTTGCAAGATCCTGGTAGGAGAAGCACAAATTTGTTTTATAAGCTAATCAGAACCCTGCTGTTCAATAATGAGTGAGTAATTGACATATCGCGGCACCGCCATGCAACACAATGGCTGGGGATGCTGACATGCTTGCGGCTCACCCGAATTTCAACGCAAGCACCCTTGGCCCTCCGAATACCTTCCTCTTAAAAAAAAAAAAAAAAAACGCTCCGCCGCTAGCAACCCTGGCTCTTTCCATTTTCCTTAACAGCCCCTTTTAAAACAAAAGCCACCGCGGTTTTAAAACCCTGGCTCCTGGGGTGGCCAGAAAACAAACAAGCGCGGCGCCCCCGCCGCCTCTCTCCCCGCTGGCTCCATTCTTGGCAGCCAGCGGGGGACTGGAGATTGCGACGCCTCCTGCTCTGCCGCAGCGCTGGGAGCGGGGCTCCTGTCACTTCCAATCCCCGTCTCTCCTCCTGACAGGATCCCCAGCGGCCGGCTGCTTTGTTTAGCAAGGGTGGGCTTTGTTGTTGTTGTTGTTTTGTTTTGTTTCAAATAAATAAATGCGGATATTTACCCCAGTTTAACCTTTTCCGTTCCTTCCCTGCTCTCTCCTCCCACTCAGTAATAGGCTTTGAAGAAGACTTGGGGTGACAGGCGGTCGATCTGTAGTGCAGGATGCAGTTTGGCCTAAGCATCATGTGGCTGCCCACACCCCAAATGAGAGCACATCCCTCTGGGCATCCCCACCCCATGTCCACCCATGCCCAAGGCACAAACACCACAGCAGGTCCTCCCTGTGGGCTAGTCCTGGCCGTTCCTTAACTGCTCCTTCCCCATCTTTGATGTCTGAAAGCAAGGCTCGGAATATTTCTGCCAAATTTCAGGGACAGGGCAGTGCTCCGCTGCAGGGCACAGCCTGGAAAACTTCTCCCAGGAATCCTGGCATCGCATCCAGAAGCTCAAGAACCGAAGCGCGCTCCTCTTCGAGGAAGAAAAGCAATCTCAATTGTAAATTTCCACGGGAAAGGAGTGAACGCCAGGACGGCTTATCTTAAATAGATTCAGTGCTTAATTACCCTTTCTGTTTAAAAATGTGTGCCTTATTTCCACTTCAAATGAAGGAGGAAAGTAATGTTTAGCATAGCTTCAAATTAACAGCGTTTGATCAACCTACAGATTTAAAATGGAATCCTCTGGTTTGGGGGTTGGTTTTGGTTTTTAATATATATAGATACATTATATTTATTTATTTATACACACACACTTTCAAGAGTATAGTAAGCTTGTTTTTGGAAAGAGGAAAATTGGTCGGTTTAGACCTGCTGGGCAAATTGATGCAATTCTTCCCAAAAAATGTGTAGGACGATTCAGCAGCCAGATGCCGCTGGGCCTGCACCAGCTCGAGGAGGCTGCATCAGTGGTGCCAGCATGGCCTGGGAACCAAATCCCAATCAGTTGTGCCTGCTCTGGTGCCTTGGTGTCGGAGGAGAGCCGTACAGGTCCTTGCCTGTACAGGTAAATGGCCTCCCTGCAGCTGGAGGAGGGAGGCAGGAGATTTCCATTGCAAAACCACAGTTCCTGAGTGCTCTGGGAGGATGGGGCTACCATGATCACTGGACGGTCTCTCTTTCTGCTGATTCAACCCCAAAAAGGCTCCCCCAGCAAATTTTTGTGACCTTCCAAGCCATGATGATGCCTGTGAGCAGCCGTGCCCAGGCTGCCAAGCTCCTTCCAGGCAGGGGAAAGGATCCACGGCTGCTGAGCCACGCAGCTTTCCACCAGGGTTCATTCAAGCCACATTTTCCTTCCTCGTGGCCTTTATCCTGGCCCTGCCTGGCTGCTGGGTGGGCACCGAGGGGCAGCACCAAAAAACAAGCCCTCCAGGAGGGCTTCTCCACCTCAGGCCTGGGGCTGGGGCCCAGGCCGCAGCAAGGCCCGGCAGTGATGGCGGGAGGGCCCAAGGGAGCTCCGTGGCAGCTTCCCCACCTCAAGGAGGGTGTTTTTAGTCAGGGAGCCCCTGCACACAGGCACGGGAGGATCGGGGATGTTTGTAAATAATGGAGACGAGCTCCCTGTCAGCACAAAGCAGGTCATAGAGTGTCTCAAAGCACCCCAGGCTTCCCTTCTCCTCTCGTCCCCCTTCCTCCCTGGCACGTGTTGCTCACCCGCTAAACCTCCGCTCCCAAATGCTGCTGGGGACCGGCACCAGTAACCCCAATTCAGCCCTAAATCAATGGGGAGGTGACCCCCTGGCTTGGGGCAGCATCTGGTAAAGGACACGGGGAAACTGAGTCAGGGCAAGACTCGGAGCTGGCACCATCCCTTGGGAAATCCCAATGCTGGCGGGCCGGGAAGGGCTCCTAGTGGGGCAGAGGGCAGGGTAAAGCTCCCAGTCTTTATGGGGGGAGCTGGAGGTGAATCCAGAGGGAAGGGGGCAGGATCCGGAGCACCCCACGTGGGAGGCCCTGAGGCCATGGGGTGCCCGTGGGGCTCTCCCAGCCCCGTCCCGTGGGACCCCCCCGCAGTGGGGCCAGCCAGCCGGCCCCCTCCCTTTTAATCCCTCGGAGCTGTTGCCAGGCTGGCTTAGTGGGGTCCCCATCCTTTCCACTGGCTGTTGGGCAAATTAAGAGCTTGCTATTAGGCTGCTAATTAAAGGCACTTCATTAGCAGCGGGGGAGGCAGCTTCTGGCCGCCGCAAAATTGGATTCCTCTGAGCTGCCGTGAGCCGCCTCTCTCCTCTCTGGGGCTGGGGGCTTCACCCCGGGGCTGGGGGCTCTGCCACCCCCCTGTCCCACAGGGTCAGCTGCCCCGAGTCATGGTCACATCGGGGTACATGGGTTACCAGCCCTCCTGCCCCAAATCCCAGCAGATGGGATGCTGCTGCCCCACAGCCTGATGTGGTGTGGGGAGGTTTGAGGGGCTGAGGGGGGTTTTGGGAGATGGGGGACCCCCCCTCTATCCCCAGCCTCTGCCTTGGGGGTGATGTAGGGTCTCTGCCCCACAGCTAGGGTGGTGTAGGGTCTCCTCAAATGGCCCCAGGGCCACCCCTACCTGCAAGGTGCCCCAGCGAGGCGGGGAGGCCCCCGGACTCCTCCTCCAGCTGCTTAGGAGCCTCCAATGAGTCCCGGGGACACCCAGGCGGCCTCCCCTTCTCTCCCTTCCCCTCTCCCTCCTTCTTCCAAGTGAAAATGGGAGAGGAGAGCGAGGCAGCGGGGCTGCCTTCCACCCCTCCTCCTCATCCTCTCTCAGCTGATTCCAGCCTCAGCGCAGCGGATGGAAAAGGGACCCCAGACCCCAGCAGGGGCATCACCAGGGTGAGCTTTGGTGGGCAGGGGGCTGCTGGGCTGGGGGGGTGCCCCATCCCCATTCCCTATGTACCCCATAGTGTGCTGCCCCTTCCCAGCTCCCCCATTCCCAGCTCAGGATTCCTGGTGAGATTAGCGGGGATTTGGCGTGCGTGAGCCGGGAGCTGCTGGGTGCTGTGGATCCGGCTACTGGGCTTGGGGGGGGTGCTCGGTGAGAGACGAGGCTCTTAGGGATGGGGTTTGGGCACTGGGACGTGCTGCTGCTGCCGGGGATGGGGGCACAAATGTGCTCATCTGCCCCGTGACAGCACTGTCACTGCTGGGCTGGGGGGTGGCAGGGAGCTGTGCCCAGTGGGGGGCTCCCTGGGGTTGGGGTCTTGGTTTGGGACAGGGACATCCTTGTCCCTCTCCTGCTAGGAATGGGGCAGTGCCCAGCACGGTGCTGATCCCCTCTCCTCTCCCCCAGCGCCTCACCTTCCCCCTGCTCTCGGTCACCCTCCTGGTGTCCTTCGGCTCCTCCATGCTCTACGGCTACAACCTGGCCGTGGTGAACTCGCCGGCGGTGGTAAGGGACGGGGCGGCCTTGCTGGGAGCAGGGCACGGTGGTGGGACCCCAGCCCCATGCCAAAATGCTGGCTTTGCCCTCAAACTTACCCCAGAGCGAGCAGCCCAGGGGCAGGAGCAGTGTGTGAGGGATGTGGGACATTGGGCTGGTGTCACCCCCTGGAAGGCAGGGCTGGGGAAGCCTCCAGCAGCTGCTCCAGCTCTACGTGGGTCCCCTAAATCATCCTTAAACCCCACTGGTACTGAGGCTGCCTTGCCCTGCATTTCCCCTGAGGGGCTGCCTTCCCACCTCCCCCATTCCCCTACCACATTCGGTGCCCGTGTCTCCCTCCACCCCACAGCACATAAAGGATTTCTACAACACCACCTGGTCCCAGCGCTACGGGCACGGGCTGGCCCCCGGCCCCCTCACCCTCCTCTACTCCCTGACCGTCTCCACCTTCGCCCTGGGCGGGCTGGGGGGCTCCTTGCTGGTGGGGCTGCTGGTGGCACACTACGGCAGGTAAGGGGGTGGCGTGGCACGGGTGGCCCCAAGGGCCTGGATAGGGCTGGAGGGGCTGCCCCACTGCCTGTGCTCCCCTAGGAGAGGCACCCTCAGCCGTAGCTCTCTGCTCGTCCTCCTGGCCGGGGGCTTCATGGGCTTCAGCCGGGAGCTGGGGTCCCCCGAGATGGTGATCATCGGCCGCTCCATCACAGGGCTCCACGCAGGTGGGTGCCACCCCGGTTACAGCCCTTACCCAGGGCACCAAGGGGGGCTCTGTGGGGTCACCTCACTGGCCACAGGGTCCCCTGCTGCAGCTGGTGCTGAGTAGGGCAGGGGGTGTGCCAGGGGGTCCCTTCTCCTGGCTGC